CCCGGGGGTGTGGGGGTATTGGGGGTGTTGAAATCCCCCCAGTATAAAAGTTGCAAGGTTTGAGGAACCCTGTTATAAAGGAAGTTTGTTTTTAGCATATTTTAATTAATTAATATTTACCTATTTTAATTAATGTTTATTCTATTTTTACTGTAACCTGCCCAGAGTCACTCCGCAGTGAGAGGGGCGGTGACAAATTTGAAATATAAATAAATTAAAATAAATTAAAAACTTCTGTTATGTGCCATTCTAGATCCAACAAACCTGCACAGCTGCAGAGTGTCCTATCAGATCCCCAGTAAGGTCAAGGGAAAAAATAGTAGTGCTCTCTGGTGCCTTTTTAGCTGTGTGATTTCCTTGTTTGCTTGTCCTACCAAATCCCCAGATACTGAAAAAGCCTGGAATATAAACAAAGGTAAAATTTTTGAAAAAGGAGCTGTATGTCTAGCCACAAAACTCTGGAAACATTGTTCTGTTCTCACCCTAAATGTGATAATCAGAAACTCTGCTGAATGCCTTAGCATTTATTTTATTCGCATCCATTCTTGCTATCACCTATGCATGCAGAGTAAGTTGTCAGGCACAGTGACTAAAGACTAAATTTCACTTCAAAATATTATGCTATTTTGTAATCATGTTATATGTAAGAACAAAAATGTCTATCAGGTCACATGGTCTGGAATAAGCTAAATAATTAAATACTAAAATTTATCATGGACAATAGACCCAACATTGAATAAGGTAAGTTATAAATGATACCACCTAATTACATTAAGCGATATACATGTTTTAGCCATAAAATATTCAGCCACAATAAATGGATAAAAATGTAGCGAAGATATTTCAGCCATTCTACTTTAATTTACTGACTGTGTCCTTAGTTCAACAGCTACTCCCAGAACTTTCCAAAGAGTCATGTTGCAAATTCCAGGCAAGAGCCTGGGGTAATCATAATTAGATCTGCCTGACCTGGCTTTTGGTAAAGGCCACATGAATTTTTACTAGCTCCACCTCTTTGCTGTTACACTGGCAAAGTCCTCGAGCAAAAGGTATCCCCCTCAAATCTACGTTCAGCAGGTGAGGGAAAAGCATGTAATCTAGCTTCAGTGGAAGCAATCTAGTATTTGCTATTTCTGAGTTTATTTAAATAAGGGGCCAAATGAAAGGCATAGTTAATGCACAAGTTCCATGGCAAGCAAGATAATTTAGCTATAAGCTCCTGCACAGATGTCCTATAATCTATGTGTAGTTGGAAGTGAGGCAGATTTATGGTCCCTCTGGAACTAATAATCCAGTGCCACACTAATGTGGGAGATTTTTGAAACTAAAGCTTTAATCAAAGAGCTAGTGAAGCCATTGCTTGAAAGTTCCAGTAGTAACCTAACTGGCACTTTAAACACATTTATTTTGACTACTTTTACTGTGGCTAACCCAGCTTTTGTTTCAGAGGAGGCTCTCAAGCAAAATAGCAGCATTTGCAATGCAGCTTGGGCCATTTAACAGGGTCCTTAATATTCTACCTGAAAATGATTTAAATATTTGAAAGATGTCTTTGCATTAATAACGTCCAGGATAGACTTCCCCCTATGTATAAAGATAAGCTTTCTACCATGCAGGACTCTATCAAGCAGTAGAACAAAACTCCTAAGTAAGTAAGCTTCTTATATGTTCCACAGGCTGCTTATAAACAGGACTGCATCTTCTCCATATAGTGACACACAAATGTTCCTTCTCCCCAAAATTGGTAAATGCCCTTTTGGCTGAAAGGCTAAATCATTTAGCTACTCATTAAACAGAATGGAGATGAGAATGCATTCTTGCCATTCCAAGATTATTTGTGAGGAAACCCACACCACCACATCTGACCTGTAACCTATTTTTATACAAGGCTATAATAAGGGCAATAAATATCCTATTCAGAAGGAATATTTCTAGTTTTACCCACAAATTGGCTCTAGGAATATAATTGAATGCAGTTCTTAAACTGAGAAATGCTGCTCCCTTTAGAGAGCCTGTGTACTTTTCTGCTAAAGGGGAATATATTTATGTTTTACTTATTCCCTAATATGAAAACAAAATATTGGCTAGATTCAAATTAAAAAGGATCTCCTTTGCTTCTTGAATTTTCACATATGCTAGTAATAATAAAAAAAGGACTGAAGAATATTTTTACTATTATGCATAGGAATCTGAATGATGTAATCTATGGCTAATCACACTCAATTTTGTATGCAATTAACCTTATTTTTTGTACACAGACCTGATGGAACAGGTTCAGCTGTAAGATGTTGTTTTTCATGTAATTCCCACATACGAACACTACCATCTTCTGAACAGGATATTAATTTCCTATAAGAATAAATCAAATAGTTGTGAAGAAGCATATTTGCACAATGGTACAAAATCAGTTGCTATCAATTTTTAAGAATTAGCATTATCACTAGAATTGATTTTCTAACACAATTTGCTGCTTCATCAACAACTCTAGGCAGCTTATATCCATAAAAATAAAACACATACAATTAAAGCCACAAGTGATTTCATCACAAATGGGATAATCCAACTTAAACCAGAATGGAGGGGAAAAAAAAAAACATGCCCGTGGAAGACTCTGTCAGGTTGTGCTTGTCCTTTGTGGAGCTATGCTGTCACAAAGGATAAAATCTAGGGATTCTCATGGATCCGAGGGTTTTGTATTTTTCTTAATACTTAAAAAACAATTATCTCAATTTTAAAAAGAGGTAGTTTGGGCTAAAGATTAGGTTGCCTGCACGCAAACTATGACAGAATATGATGTAAGGAAAGTTTTAGAGAGAAAATGCATAAAAATTAAGCATGTCCTTCATCAACTTTCTGAATGTTAAAGAATGTATGAAATATGTAATGTAAACTGCACCTGTTTGGAACTTTTGTAATGTGCAGGACAGTGGAATCATGAGCAGTCTTCTGGAAGGCAATCACACGTTTCATCTGAAGGTTATATACGTATATGCCCTTGCCAACAGCAGCAAACACACACTAGAAAAAATAATCAGTAAAACATCTTAACAAAAGATACATATTTTATGTAAGAGGTTTCCAATTATTTCTAATTAAATCAAATACATAAGAAGGGAAGAACTATGCACCACCCTGATTTATGATTATCACTATATTTATTAAAATATGTTTATATCAGCCTTCAGTTTATATCAGTTGTATAAGCTAACTATTAATGACATCTAATATGAAACATGGATGTTATTTGCATTCTTTCAGATTTTACTATTATTATTATTATTATTATTATTATTATTATTATTATTAAAATTTATTGGCTGCCCAACTCCAGTGGATTCAAAATAACAAAACCTGTTTTATTAGGCTTTGCCGGCAACTTAGTTATTTTTCTTCTTGATTATTGTTAATCAAGACTCTGTTTTAATAGATGTATTACTTACTGTGATTTGATGAGTTTTCTCTCACACACACAAATCTACATAATTTTATGGCTAAGCATCTTTGAGGGTTCTTGTGGCAGAAATACATCTACAAATAAAAATATCTCTAAAAATGCTAGACCATTATGAGAAGCTGAAGCATGCATGGAAATCATTGCAGAGTTTTTCAGGTTTTCAACTACACAAGTGGGATCTGCAAGAAAATGTTACTATTTCAGCTATCTCTTGCACAAGGCGGTATGCTGGTATTAGAGGCTCTACTGACCTGGAGAAGAGGCCGAACCCTTTCGCTCAAGACATCACAGAAGAGGGGAAAGAGTCTGTGAGTGAACGAAGGGCATTTTGTTTACTTTCCACCCACCAAGGCTTTTTATATGCTAAAAAGGTCAAGCAGAGGCTACAGAACCATGCCAGATATAAGTCAACTATACTGGGCTGGAAGGTTAAATTGTATGTTTTAATATAGGGTCATTTCCTATATTATATGGCTTTATCAGTAAACCCTAACCCTAACCCTTTTGACAACAGGAGCCATTTCTAAAACAAGCCCAATAACCCTTTGCCCACACAATTTGATTGAGGCTCCTTCTTCCTATGTTCTCGCTTTCATGGTGACACTATGTAATATACTAACACCCACAAACTTATCAGCAGAGCCAAAATGAGACTGGGACTGGTGGTGGAAAAGAGGTGCTTACAAGGCAAAAGACAAGAAGAAAATATTGCATATGCAAAATATTGACAAAAATAGAAGTTAATAATAAGTAACTACTATTTGAATATGAATGATTTGCAAGACTAAATGAATAACAGACGAGGACTAAACAAATTAGAATTGAACAATTATTCTTTAAACAATATTTTTGGAATCTGTTCCAGTGGGAAGTAATGAGAGGAGAAAAGAGGGATTGGAAAGTTAGATTAAATATTAACTGGAGGAGAATCACACAAGAATGTGAAAATGATGATAAAAAATAGATTCAGTTGTTTGTAAGAGAGAGCTCCATTCATATACACCTCATGAAAAGAAAGCTTAATTGAAAATAAGGTTTTACTGCAGCATCCCTGAATATACAACCATGTCTCTTCACCCTCTATGATCTCCTGATCTATCCAACTGGCTGCACTTTGACAATCAGCTGCAAATGTCACTCTGATTTAAGAACAGAATTGACCGTCTCTGAATCCAACTTTCTTCCTCCCTACTAAGAGCCAAACGGAACTATTTCTTTTTAAAAAGCTCCTTTTGGCATGTGGGCAAAACTCCTGGCATCTCCAGCATACTATGTTCTATATATTAGAAGCAGACCTCCATAAACATGTAAATTGGAGATGGGGCAAATTTAACTACCTCAAATTCCATATTCAGCATCAGATTCAGGGTTTGTACCAAGTCACAATATAGTTGATTTCCTGAGTGTTATGGCACTTGAGGCTTTTAAGTTTTTTAAAAAAAGTAATTTACCAATATCTTTCTTACATCTGTACCTCAATTATACAAAAACTAACTTAATTGGGAGGGACGCTGTCACTATTTTATGTCTTTGGTACATGTACATTTCTCCTTCTTTCCTGGAATTTAAAATGACATACATAGGATTCTGAGATGTATCATATAAACTCTGACTCATATACCAGGATCAACTTGAAGTACTCAGCCTGCTAAGTACACTGCAGTAAATTATGGTAAGTCATTACAGTAAGCCTGAATTTAAGATTACTACTAAATATAGGAAAAATAGGAAAACAAGAGGAATATTACAGAAGTTATCTAACTTTTCCTGAATGAGAACAGATTTCAGTAATGAGGAAATTCAGTAATTTGTCATATTCCTATCTACCTCCTACTACTATTGTACCAAATACCCTTTTCATTAGGCATTAAAGTATATTCTATTTCAGTTTTGAAATGAATTCTGCAACCTGTGTTTAATGGCCTTATATATGAATGATTTCCATCTGCAATGGCTTACTGAAATTTTCAAGCTTAAGACTACTTTAGCCATAGGCCCTTTGCTCAGGACTCATTAACAGTATTTCTAGTTGGGTTGGAAATAATACAAAACTGCAAAATAATCTAATTATGTAATAACTAATCATTTACTAACACGAAAGAAAACAATATAATTTACATAACTTTTATACTATTTTGTTTTTACCTCCTCATCAGAAGTTAAATCCTGAATTGACGTTTCACTTTGATTTTGTGATAATTTTATTTCTTGCTGTGGGTTCACATGAAGGGATGCATCCCAACTGCATTCATATGCTTGCATTGTCCAGTCCAATGAATCCCAGACAATCATTTCACCCACATGGGAGCCAGTTGCAAAAACAAAATCTAGATACCAAAATAGTAAAGATCTTGATAAATAACAATCTATTGTTTATTCAAACACTTGGAGAAAATAAAAAACATTGGGCAATATAGTATGTTTGATAAAGAGAAGTAAATGTTTGTAAAGGATATAATCCTTTCAAAAGAGGGATATTTAGTAAAGTCACAAAGAACATAGTAAAATATTCTACTAATGCAGGTTAGTGACCGGCAACTGATGACATTTGAACTAACCATGGCTTGCTGAAACTAACCATGGCTTGCTGAGAGTAACCATGGCTTCCTGAAACCAACCATTAAACATTTCTCAGAAGCACAATTTTACTTTGGTGTTGTCTTCTTCTCATCTCTCTAAAATAGGACTTTCCACTAGACAATGGATCTATGTTGTCTCTTAGTGTACCACAAAGGCCACATCTTTATAAGACATAAAGATCTTATATCTTTCCCAAATCAGCCTACAAGAATGTGCCATCATATTTCTCCCTGCCCCTCTCCCCATATTTCTAGAATAGTCATTTGGAATATTTTTTAAAAACCTCTAACTTTATTAGGGAAGGGTTTATAGAGGAATCTAAACTCCAGTTGGCAAAGGTAGAAGACAGTTATGAAAATAGAGACTATAGTAAAAATCAGGCAAAAATCAAAACAAATAAGATGTAACAAAAAATTGATTCAGATTTTTAAAATGAAGATTCAAAGCTCTAAGTGGCCATGAAAGTTCATTCTCAGCCCAACTTATCTCACACAGTTACTGTGAAAATAAAATGGTTAGGGCAGAACCATGTAACATCCACCCACTTGAAGGAATGGAAAGATAAAATGTAAAATATATAAGAAGTCCTATAAAAACAAAGAGTCTGCAAGTTACATTTAAAAATGTCACTATACTATACTATACTATGCTAGCTATGCTATACGTTGTACAATCTAATGAGAGTTTTAATGATGGCTATTATGGTAAATTTATCACATGCAAATAATTTCACATTAAAATATTTTCATGCAGGGATATTCAATGCTGCCTATCTAGATTGGAGCACCTAGCTATCTGGCTTGATCTCAAAAAGCCTAACAAGGTTGTGCCTAGTTAGTACTTGTATGGTAGTTTCCCCCAAAATATGATTGTCAGCTATTACATATAAAGGGCAAACTACTTCTTTATTGCTTCCAAGAGAACTACATGGATATGTTCATAAGGCCACCATGACTAAGCTTAACTCAAAGGAGACTTTACCTGATATCTGATTTGAGGTTATGGCAGAAATTTTTAATACAAATCAATTCCATATTTTTCCTTTAAAACAAAATCAAAACCAAAAATTGCAAGATTCATTTGGAGGCAATGTGTAATAAGCAATGTACCAATTATTACAAAAATAAAACTGGAAACAGTCTTACCACTGACACTGACCAATGACACAATATTATCTTGATGATCAATAAGCCGTTTTATTTCAGAGACATCCCATTCAGTTCCATCTCTGGAAGCTTTCAATCTTAGAATTACTTAGAAGACAAAGTTGAAGATAATGTTAAAAAAGCTTTAATTTATTAAAGTATAGCAAACTATATTATCTAAAATATTGTTTCCTTACATCCTATCAGCGACATGCCTGCTGAGGTTTCAGCCCGCAGTGCTCTTTCCAGGATATACCATTCCATTCCCACTCCTTCTTTTTCTTCCAATTGATGCACACATTCTGTGCCTATTCAAATTGATTGTTGGGAAGTATTTTGAGATGATAATGGGGTGAAAACTCCCTTTTAATGTTTGAAATTACAATATTTTCTGTTATCATATATGATAGAGATGCTAGAAAATGATCTATCTACCAGGACAGTAAGCTGTAGATCTGATTCAAAGGTCCTTGGGGATGAATATAAACGCACTACATACATACGAACTATAATAAAAAATACAAAACAGGCAGCCAGTTATCTGAAAGGCCAAACTGATGTAGATAGCCATTCAAAACTGTTACTGTAATTACTATCAAAGAACGTATCTCCAGAATTTGCTTAAATTTGCCTAAAACTGAAAATAAAGAGAAAATGTTTTGAAATCTCAAATCTAAGCTATTGGCACATTGCAGAGATAGTTTCTTAATAAAATATTTATCCTTATAATTACCACAATGTGCTATACTTGTGGGGAATGCAACTCACTACTCATAAAAAACCAAAAATCACCTTGGCTCTTTTCCTTGGTTTCAGTGAAAGAATTAGGTATCCAAACTTTTGTATTACAATCCATAACTATAGTTAGATACAAGGAAAGATTAACATCATTCTAATATTGATAGAACACACTTCAACATATAAAATGTTGAATAAGATTTTCGCTATCATAGAGAGTAAAGAAGATAACCTTGATGAAGATATACAAGCTCCATTGCTAAGATGACAAGGGTAAAACACTGTCTAAGTCGAGAACATCCAGATAACATTTGGAAGTGGCTTGCAAGGTTGATGTAACTCCAACTAATTAGACTAGACTAGGAAAACAACTCCACAGGAAGGCTAAACTACTTTTATTGAGATTGGCTATAATAACAGAATCTTGCAAGTCTGACTGTGTTGTACTTCCTACTGTGATAGAAGGCATGAGCGAGGAGGATTCTGGAATGGAGCTTCAAGGTTACAGGGAGGGGGGAGAGACATTCCAAGGAGAGCATCTCCTCAACCCCCAGCTGGACTGTGTGAAGGTCAAGAGAAAGAGACTGGCCCCTCCCTAAGGGCATGATGGTTATAGTTGCTGTCGTTGGGGGATTAGAGTTAGTCTGGCAAGATTCTGTCTACTAGGTGCAAGCTAATAAAAAAGCTGAGCTGATTTCTGGACTGTCTCGTGTGATTCTTGGGTCAAACCTGACACCTACTCCTCTTATAGGGAGGTGTCTGTCTGAGCTGCTTCTAAATATTATCTGGACATTCTGGACTTAGACAATGTTCTACCCCTCGTTGCCTTGGCAATGGATCTTGCACATCTCCATCAAGGTCATCTTCCTTACTACACCTATTTATAGCAGGAGTGCACAACCACCTGTACATTTTAATGGGACAGAAGAAAAAAATTATTCAATTCCCAGTGAATAATCAATGTACCTATATTTAACTAAGTTTAATTATATTAAACTTTAATTAAGTTAAACTCCATTTCTTATCCTAGCTCTATCAACTTTTTGAAATGTGGATTCCAGCTCACCATTCAAAGACCAAGTGCAGCTCTCAGCCCACAAGAGTTTGCACTCCTCTAATTTACAGTAATACTTACTCAGTTCTTTGCCAACAGCTGCTGCCACACAATTTTTTGGCAATTCAATCATAGCAGTGATATCTTTATTAAGAAGAAAAAAGTAGAACAAATAAGTAATTAATATCTAGCTTACATATTATTATTTCAAAAAAGTATGCAGTACTCTCCGACTATTCTCAGAGGGCTACTTAAATCATCTGATATGATTTCCAGGTATTTTGCTCTTCTTAAGAACACTTACAAAGCCATGAAAAAAATGTTATACAAAACACTTTTTGTTTGCGTAGGAGATAAAACACAAACACAGCCCATGAAAGATGTCCCAATTCTTTTATCAACAGATTTTGAGGCAATGGCTACTGTTGGAAGGGCTTACTGGATACAACTAGAGGTGAAGCAGAAAATGCATTCAAACCTGAAACAAATACTGTGTTCAGAAGTTCTGCCAAATTGTGCTGGATGTACTGTGGTTCAGCAGAACCAAAATTCCCCAAAACTGGTAGTTCTGGATTTCAGTTGAAAGAAAATCCAGTGTGATCTCACAAGGATAGTAGGACACGACTGGTGCACCTTGTCCAACTCTCCTATCTTCCCCTGCATGGCCTGTGTGCTGGCCCTTCTACTAATCATCCAAGAGCCTTCCATTCCCTATTTTCTCTTATACTGCACTTGAAGCCAAGGACACCAGCATAAAGGGAGATACAGAAAGGCAAAACATACATGTCTCAATCCAGACACATATGTCAGGCTTCACCCAGCTGAAGCCTCTAGGAATCTTTTGCATGTTTGGATCTGGCATGGTCAAAATGTCTAGTTTCCCAATTCAAACTGTGTTTGAACTTGTCAGCGTATTGTGAAATTAAGGAGTTTTCATCATGTCTTCTGACTGTCAATTGATTTTTATGGATGCATCCTGCCAATCTTTTACCTGCTTCTTCTACATAGTGACAATTTTAGATCAAGCCAGATCCAAACACGCAAAAGAATTCCTAGAGGCTTGGCACTTCAACAAATCAGTCATTAGCAGATGCACTGAGATAACCTCCATCTACAAACTATTGAAAAAAGAAAGCAACCAAAGGTCATGGAAAGAGGCCAACTGCTCTAAACACATCAGTTCCCATCATATACCTATTAACCAATCAGATAAGTAGGAATCAGTGTCGGATAAACAGGAACAATAAAGGAACAAACAATAGGCCATTCAAAGAGTAATCAAAGAAGAAATAATGTCCCAATCAAGGATGTTAGACAAAATAGAGTAGGATATGAAAACAAACAAACAAAAAAGATGAAGGGAAATGCTAATAAGATTTTGTTGTTGTTGTTGTTTTATTTGAAAGTCCTAAATATGTTCAGTAAAAAAAAAAATCACAGGTACTGACACGCTGTATTCCCTTTTTACCTCCATTTTAAAAACAGAAGTCAATACTTTTGAAACCAATAAATTTAATATGGGCATGTCCACTTGTAGTTCCTTATTATTATTATTATATATTATTACACTGGTAAACCAGTTCTTTGGAGGACAGCTAGGGGTCAAATATGTAAATTGTTTGTCAAATGTGTAAACTGTTGGTCAATCTCCAAAATCTGGAATTTCTCAATTTATGAAAAACTTTGGATATATTGAATATAAACTGTCAATTAAAACCTTTCGAATTAACTTGTACTGAAGGAGAAGCAAGACCAGACAATATGATCCATGTTTAATTCATTAAAAATTGAATCATAATGAGGAAATTCAAAAATATAACTTCAAAACTTGAATAGCCCAACATTTTAATTACGTTTTTTTCCTCTCTCTCTCTCTCTCTCTCTTTTCTTAGTTTCCTTTGCTTAGTGGTTCAGTTTTGTACTTATATTTTTATTCAATGTTTTTTCATCTCTATCTCTCCCCCCTTCTTTTTTTAATATTTTATTTTAAATAAAATACTAAAGCTTAATATTTATTTTAGTAAAGTGTAAATTCTTTTTTGTATTTTTAAGCATACAGTATATTATTTAATTAGGGTTTTTTTCTTCTAAAATATGTTTTTATACAGTAGTATACTTAATATAGTTTATATATAATATTACATATCAACAAGTAATGCCTTTTCAGAAATGTTAATAGTAACCGTTTTATACTTCATTAATTAAAAAATAGAAGTCAGCTTTAATATATGTTACCTTTAGAATCAGAGACTTTGCCAAATTAATTTCATATCATTATATAGGTTCATTCTACTTTTTAATAAGCTATTTAAATTTGTTTACCTGCATCAATTAGATGACTTGTCTTACACAAGAGATCTAATTTTTGATTCCAAACACACAAATCACTTCCTCCAGAAAGCCATACATCCAGCCTTTGAAGAACAGTCAAACACTACAGAAGCAAATTACATAATCAGATACATAATACATAACATTCTTGAAGGATGTTCTCAAATACAATTATCAGCTTTATTTATTAAGACTTTAAATACTATGACATTCAATTTCCTAGCAACATTTATAATCAATAGAGTGCTTTATGTATCTTATGAAGCAGAAAGGAAAAAAGATGACTAGAGACGCTATTACTTCAAGATCATGTTGAATTAAAAATGCAGTTGAATATCTGTCTTCTCAAAGGTAAGTCCAACTATATTCAATAACACTTACTCCCAACTTAAATAGGATTGCAATCTATACTTTTCAAAACTTTGAAATAATTATTTTTGTCAAGACAATATCACATTAAAAATGTTTTCATACCCTACCTCTGATTTTGTTTAAAAGAAAGCAAATCAAGGATGAGATTATAAATACCACAAAAAGCATTATTTCTTGAAATTCTCCAGTTTTTTCAAATATGTCAACATTAAATATACAACACTGAAATTACGATTTTACATTACAGAGAAATAAGTTATCACACAGTGATCATGATACTTCAGTACTGCCCTCTGGAGCTTAGAACTATTGCACTCAACTGTGCAACAAATGGTAAGGTAGAAACACATTTGTGCATGCAAAGGACTTCATACTGGCCTCTTCCATCATAATCTCAGAGATACAATTTCAGAAGTAATCAAAGATACGTTGGTTAAGATTTGTAAGCTTCCAAGATCACACACAGTTATTTATGTTAGCGATTAATATTCTTATAAATGGACAAAGTGATGGAATACATTCTATTGTAATGTACAATACCTCTAACTAAGATGATTGAAAATGTATGGTTGACTGATCTTTCAAGGTGCCTAGGCTAGGCTGTTTGAGTCTACCTAGGCTGTCTGAGCCTAAAAATTTACCAAAAGTACCTCAGGTTAAACAACACAAACACCAAAAACCTGCAAATCCGTTAGTTGCAACTGGGTTCTACAGTATGTAACTATTATGTAGCTGATATAACTGCAAACGTAAGACTGACAGTGTAGGATTTAAATCTTCATAAATAAACTTCATAAATCTTCATAAACAAACACAAAACCACATTCATTTTACTTACCTTTACGGTCGAATGAAAACAGGATACTTTGTGAATTTGCCTGCCATTGTCACAATCCCAAACCTGGTTTCAATCATTAAGGATTTTAAGCAGCTAAAATATCTTATCTATAACAAAAGTCTGAACCATAAAACAGAGGTGTGATTTCTACTTCCCACAGACCCTTCCTGAGCAAAAGTGTTTCTCTGAGTCTTTTACTACCACACAAATGATGGGAGAAGACATTTGCAGAACTTATTTCTTTACCAGCAGAGAAGAAAGAGCACACAATGCACCAGGAATGCAAATACAACATCTTTTCCTGAGAGTTTCCACTGTTCAACCTGAAAGAGATTATTAATTATCAACTACAGCCATTTTTTTTGGTCCATGCAATGAAGATTTGTGCAGACAAAATCATATTTCCACAACTATATTTTATCACTGTCATCTTTAGTCACACATCAATTTGACGTGGAAATGATAAAAGTCTATCTGCTTTTATAACAGTTTGCTCATTGAAGCCCCAAACTTGGGTGTGATACAGTATGATCAGTAAGCACCATTTATTGTGCAACACAGACCAATTCTGCATTTCTCTAATCAAGTAGTAAAGGATACAACTACAGTTCTATCAGCGCTTGCTGTCAAAATCATACGGCATTTTGCTTCACAACTATCTGACAAAGGAAAAGCTGCAAGAGCTGTAATTTTTTGTGTATGTCCATGTAGCTCAAATAACTTTTCTCCGGTCTGCAAAACAAAAACAAATCTGGTGTCATAATAAAAGTGCTAAATGAAAACAAAAACTTGTGCTATGAAGGAACAACACAAGCAATCAGAATCAATCAATTAAAATATTATTTAAGTTATTAAAAACATAGGAACTCACCATATACCATGCAAATAACTGGTTCATCTAGCTTAGCCTTCCCTCACCTGCTGCTGTTATTTCCCAGAAAATCCAGCCAATTCCTATAAAAGTGTTCACCATGCTAACTAAAGGTTACAGAAACTGATGTAAAACATGTCTGGACAGCAATAGGGTGAGGAAGGCTAGTCAGTGCTGTGTGATAAAGGCTCAGAGTTTCAGATAGGGTCTTTTTCAGCAATACCATAGATGCTGTATGGAGTCACAAATGTGAACTGAGTGGCTATATAAATTGAATAAATAAATAAACAAATAAACAAATAAAAATCTACCCCAGAACAACAACCCTCAATTCCTTTGTAACTATTTTTTTTACAGCAGAATCTCAAAATACTGTATTTGAGCTACATGTTTCAATGCCAAATCTGGAGTGCATACCTTTTCTAAAAATATATCAGAGTTCTTATATGAGAAAGTTGAATTCTGTGAGTAATACAAAATAGGTAAATTAGGGAAAAATTGATTATTGCTTTATTTATTGTGTTTATGCTAGGTATGGGAAGGAATGAAGAGTTACGCAGAAGCCTGGGGCCAACTAAAATTTTTGCTTGTCTTCTTAAATTTAGTCAGTATTGTGTACACAGTTCAACATTTTTTGTCATTTTAGACTCCAAATGCTTTAAAAGAAAAAGAAAAGAAAGAAAGCCTACATTCTTAAGAAGCTTGATTCTGTGGTCAAATATCTTTCACTTCCCCCCCTACAACCCAGATTATGCCATCTATGAACTTTAAAAATGCTTACATTTTTGAAAGACCTGGCAGCATATTTCTGTGTACAATAAAAGTAGAAAGAAAACTCCACATTCATTACATCCTAGGACCAATAGCCACTGAAAGGCAGCACTTCCAGCCTTCCAAAATGAACAGCAAGGCAAGGTGAAAACTGACATCAGCCACAAAAGGAAGAGCTGCAGGGAACTGCTTCAACCTACTCTGCCATCTACAGGTAGGCCTCACTTACTGACTGCCTCATGCAGCAACTGTTTGAAGTTACCACAGTGCTGACAAAATAACTTTGTGACCAAGGCCAAGGCATTAGGACCTTCGCAGCATCTCTCTCTCAGTCACATGTTTGCCATTATGGTCAGTTAGTATGCACTGTCCTGTGCCTGACCCTTTCCTTTTTTTTCCCCCTCCCCTTGCAGTGGAGAGATTACTTAAACAAATGCTCTCTTTAGGCAATCTCTGCTGTGCCTGACCTGTTTTTTTTAATTCCCCCCCACACACACACAAACACAGAGCAGAGAGATTGGAGAGGAAGAAATTACAAAGAGTAAGCAGGCACACAATGGGGAATACACCAGCACATTCCTTTCTATGTATATTCCCTACTGTGTGCTTGCTTACTCTCTTGTTATCCCTTCCTCTCAATGAATGTAAATACAAACGTTGATTCCCTTCTTACAAATTATCCCAGCACCAAGAGCATTCCAAAAGGCAGGGTAGTGGGGAAAAAGGAAAGCTGAAGTAAAATCATAAGCACAGTTGCAGTCACATGATTTTCCACTTACGACTGAGTTGCCAATCCCAATTGTGGTCGCTAAATGAGGACTACCTGTATTAAGAATTTTGCAAGTGCCCGAACTGCTTTTCTCTTTCTCCCAATCTCTTTTCCTTTTGTATCATGAATTTTAGATAGCCTAAAAATCAACTGAATATCAGGGCAAAAATACCATAAATAAATTAAGTAAGTAAGTAAGTAAATGCAATTCAGGAAGTGAAGACTATTAATTTATTTGAAAAACCACTGTGCCAGACCCATATGGTATAGAGCTATAGAAAGGACTTTGCATATCATATTAACTATAATCAAATTTAGCATTCTGCCTAAATATTTTCTGTGTTAATGAACAGTACTGCAGTCAGTAAACAGTGTGTAAGCACTGTATGCTTTTAAAAGTTTTGGAACATATAATAATTTTACTTACTTTTTTCACACAGTTACAGATCAAGATAGGAAACTGATGAGGTAGCAAATGAATTATGCTATTCCTCAGACAGACTGGCATCTGTTAACAATCCATGACATGCCCCAAATCTGTTACAAAGAGTTATGGCATTCTCAAATTTGGGGTATCAGGGGAATAAAGAGATGAGGAGAATGAAAGTGGGTCTACTGCATGAGTGTCCGATCATATAAAATTAGTAAATAATCTGATAATTTATTGATTGATTGATCATATTTATATAGCTGCCCATGTCCCAAAAAATTGACTCTGGGCGGCATATAACACTCAGTTAAAAAACCCATAAATACATATAAAACAATAATTAAAACTATAAAAACGCCACCTAGAGTCACTTGTACACTGAGATGGGCAGCATGTATAAATTTGGAAAAAAATAAATACATTTAAAAAAACACAGCAGGAGAAGATGATATTAACTGTAGTAAGGGAGCCATCATAAAATCTCCCCCGCCCCCTGGGAGCCCCAGGCCTGATCACATAGCCAGGTCTTGAGGGACTTGTGGAATGTTAAGAGGGATGGGGCTAATCTCACTTTGTAACACTTTAGCACAGTATTATAAAACATGTAATTAAACCATTTTTGCACAAACATTATTTCTAGTATTGCAGATATGCAAAGATGTTGATAATCTTCATGCATGTTTTGTCTTCACCTTTTCAACTGTAAATTACATTCACACACCCATGGTTCTTTA